TATATATATATATATATCATTTTTCACAGATAATTTTGCATTCTGGAATTTAGAAATTTAGAAGATGATTGGTTGTTAATATTAAATGTATTGTATTCAATATGTATAGTGGCTTCCTTTATATGTTCGACAAAGATCATTTGTAAATTTTGAAATTTTTATCATAAGATGCAAAATAAAAATCAAATCAAATCAGATCATTGCATCTCAACTTCATCGGGTTGAATTTCTTTTTTTTTTTTAAATATTTTCTTTAAATTGACATAAGCGGCATCATATACATACACAAAACAATGGAGAGAACTCATATGTAATGAGACATACCAGTGTGCTCCATTGGAAATCCTTCTTCTCCTCATTCTATTGCGAGTATTCGCCGCTTGTTATTCAAATTTTGTGCAAGGGTTTCTCTTCGTTAAGATATATATTGTATATATTGTAATATGCTTTTACTTATCTGCCCTTTGTCGTTATTACAAGCATATCATCTTCAATTCTTATGTAAAGCCAATCAATGTAATGTTAAATATATAATAAAAGGATTCTTGGCTCAGTTACAATCTTCTGTCTTCTCCCTTTCTTCTTTTTGTTTATGATTTGTTCATGGTATCAGGTTAATAGCTTCAAAGCATCAAGATCCATGCTCCCTTTCTTCTTTTTGTTTATGATTTGTTCATGTTATCAGGTTAATAGCTTCAAAGCATCAAGATCCATGGATTTCTCCTGCCCACTTTTGAGCAATATGTAGATTCTCTCAATAAGATGAAGGAGACTAATATTCTAGTCACTTTAAAATTCTTGATGACAAATATAAAGAATGTTATTCATTCCTTTCTTAGTATGAAAATGGAAGGTATGCTATATGGAAGGTATAAATCCTGAAATTATTTATTACAATTGGATTTTTTTTTCTTATTTGATTCTATCATACCATCCCCTCTGAGATTTCATCATGATTCCAACCGTACACAAGTTTACAATCCTTACTATCTCCTATGGAAACTGGTGGATCGCAATTTAGCCGTTGCAATTTTCTCAACCATATCTTTATCAGTTTTGTCATATGCTCTTCATCTTAACAACAAGGAAGAAATTTAGATCACCCTTAAAAGAAGATTTAAGGCTACCAACAGATCTCGTGTGATTCAACTAAAAAATGAATTGCATGTCATGACCATGGGATCGAGTACCATGACCAAATATCTTATCACTATTAAGACTATGGTTGACAACATTGCAATCATTGGTTCCAAAATTGATAATAAAAACATTATCTTATAAACTCTTAATGGTATCCCCTCCAAATACCAATCATTGGTTCCAAAATTGATAATAAAAACATTGTTTTATAAACTCTTAATGGTATCCCCTCCAAATACCAAGGATTAAAAATTGCCAGTAGAACTCAGTTTAAACCCATCTCCATAGAAGAATTTTATTATCTTTTGCATAGCGAGGAAAGCAATCTTGCGCTTAAAATATCTCCACAACAAGTATTACTCACATACAAAAATAAGACTCCTAACTCGAAGACTTAGTACAAATCATCCTTACACTCCAAGAATTCAACCTCTACCAGTAATGGCAAAAACAAGCCCTTTGTTACTTGCCAAATATGTTACAAGAAAGGTCATACTACTACCCAATATTGGCACCACACTAATCTCCAATACAAGCAATCCCCCACAAATCAAGTTGCAATTCTTACTTCTACAATTTACCACACAAATCAAGAATGGGTTCTTGATGTAGACGCTACATCCCATCTTACCCCTTAAACAGATAATCGTCAAAATCTCATCCTATACAATAGCTAAGACAAGATCTCGGTCGACAATGGACAAACTACATGAATATCTCATATTGGTGTTGGGTTACTACCCACACCAAATAGTAATCTGACCCTTTCCTCACCTTTTAGAGAACCTCATATTTCTCACAATTTAATTTTTATTTACAAAGTTGCTCATGATAACAATTGTTCCATTGCTTTTAATGTTAACACATACGTCATACAGGATCTCAGTACTCAGAAAACAATTATATGTGGTCCAATGCATGATGGATTATATCTTATCAAATCATTTGTGACTCTCACTAACAACTTTACCTAGTACAACAGCTAGGCCATACGCTCGCAAAAGTTATCAATCACATTTCTCATACTTTTATGCACTTACATATTCCCACTAATACTCTATCATTCCAACGATTTCATCAAAATAATATTAACAAAATATCTTTTGATTCCAACGCTAGGTATGAGTTTTTAAATATGTTACATTCTATTTTTTGGGGCACGTTTTCTCAGCCCTCTCGTGATGGATGCAAGTATTACATTACATTTATTGATGCTTACACTCAATTTTGCTGGTGTTTTCCTTTAACTGCTAAATAAGAAGTATCTTTTTACTTTCTTCACCTACACAAACAATTAATTAATCAAATTAATAAAAAACAAAAAGTGTTTAAGATCATATGGAGGTAATTAGTACAAAGCCACTTACTTTCAAACATATTTGCAAAACAATGATATCCAACACCAATTTAGGTGTCTTTACACACTTGAACAGAATGACATAGCTAAAAGTAAAAATAAACACATTATAGAAACAATCAAAACATTTTTTAAACACTGCTAAATTATCTTACCAATTATGAATGATAGCCTTTCATCTTCTAATCTGTACATTAAATCACCATTTCAGCTTCTATTTAACTTCTAACCAAATTACGATCATCTAAGAACAATCAAATGTGCATGTTTTCTATGGCAACCATCTCTTCACTTCACAAAATTTAGTCTCAAAGCATCTCTCTGTATTTTTCTGTAATACAACAATCAACATAAAAGTTGTTAATGTTATGACCATCAAGAGAACCATATCACATCTCTTGACATGTCAAATTCATAGAAAATCAATTTCCTATCAGGACCTTCACTCTCATCTACCCACTTCATCTCTCACTCCTCATCTTCAACCATTACTATTAATTCACACATCTGCAATCTTCTCTATTCAACTTACAGTCTCATAATTCTTCTTCCTCCACTCTTCCAGCACACTCTAATCACTCTGCCCTAACCCAAGTTCTGATCAAATTTCCCTTGCACTTGTTTCTCATTCCTTTTCTACCCAACATTCTTATCCCTTCAATTATGGACTGATTCATCCCCTAACTCATTCAATCACCCAACTCACACCACTCATCACATTCTCACCTGATAAAAAATAATTAACTCTAAACCTACTAAAATTTTTACAATATTGCATCAACATTCACAAGATACACCAACCACTTGTAAACAACTCTTTCATCACCCACATTAGAGAAATTTCATGTCATAAGAGTTCATGGCTCTCCAATAACAAGGTACATGGATTCTTGTACCCCCACTATTTAATCAACACATTTTAAGTTGTAAATGGATCTTTTACATTAAACATCAGACCAATGACACATCTTGTTCTCAAGGTTTCAATCAACAATCAAGCATTGATTATCATGAAAAATT